CAAAGTTACAAAAGCACTAAAAAAGTGACTCATACTTACAACCATTGCAGTGTCCCTGCAGTCACATGATCAAAATTCGAGGGCTTGGCAACCGCCATGTATTTACGACGGTTGTAGCATCCTGGGGTCAAGTGATCGCCATTGGCAACCTTCTCAGCTGGAAGCGGCAAGCAAAATCAATGGGGAACTGCGTGATTCACTTAACAACCTCCACAAAAAATGTCATAAAATTGGGTGCAGTCACATGATGCCTTGCTTAATGACCACACTGCTTACCTATGAATTTTCCAATTGTGGTTGTAAGTTGAGGACTACCTGTATTCTTCTTATTTACTTTGGAACTAAGAGGGAAGATTGTTTTCACCGCTGGGCAAAGTTTGTTGCTGAATCGTGTGATTTCCCTGGAAGTTGTGCAAGGGGTGTCCTCTCGCCGTCTTGCATGGGACTTATCTTCCAAAGGGAGAGCCCATCGACTGGCTACTGGCCCTATTGAAAGTCTCCTGGATCCTCGCCAGGAAATGTAGAATTTGTTCTCTGCATTAAGCCAGCCTTTTTCCCCAGCATATTCATACAAAGTTGTTCTCTTGCCAATCACCGGGGAAAATGAACTGAGAACAAGAGATTTGCTATGTCCTAGTCCCTTGATCAGACATTGCCTTGGCACTGCAACAACAGGGGCTAGAAACTTGAGGGGGATGTTCAGAACTATTTACTTAGGGCAGCATTTCTCAACCGTGGCCACTTGGGAATGGGGAATGGCTGGGGAATTCTGGGAGGTAAAGTCCAGAAATCCTCAAGTGGCCACGGTTGAGAAACACTGACTTAGAGAATTAATCCTTTTTGAAGTGAACACCACACCCTGCAACCAGAAGACAAATGAAAACATTTTAGGAATAGGGACCGTCCAGTGGGAGCAGCGATGTGGTGTAGAGGTTTTAGTGTCCTCCTGTAGCCAGGAAATCCAAGTTCAAATCTCCACTCAGCTGCAAAGCTTGTTATATTTCCTCAATGACCAGGCTAGTCGTCAGCCTGGTCAACTTTAAAGAGTTATTGTTAGCAAAAAGGAGGAAGAAAGGTAGGTAAACTTCTGCTTAGCCCTTCTCCAAACTTAGCTCAGTCTGCTTCCTCCCCAGCTGTAATGCTTCCACAGGCTCTTCTGTTTTGTTTTGTTTTTTTGCACCATGAGGACTAGAAGCGTGATGTGAATTGCACGGAACACGCCTCCCTCAAAACTGAGCAGCCCTCTGCAGACCGGCATGACTCTAAGAACCACTGCCATGTTAGCCCCAAATCAGGTCTCCTCCTTTGTTTGGTTTGGTTAAGGTTTGCTGAGTCAAAGTTGCCAACTGGCATGAGGAGAGAGCAGCCAGCAAATCAAGGCGCATGTGAGATCACAGGACCCAGAATACCCAGCCCTGCTGTATGACAGCGATAGGAATTGGAGTTTGCATCATAAAAGGCTGCGTTTACCTTGTCTTTTCAGGCACAGGGTACAGAAAACAATCTCTGTCTTGCTATTTTTTAAAAAGTAGATTTCAGAAGGGGAAGGGGAAGAGATAAGACTGTAGGGCAGGGGAAATACACGAGATGTTGGCCAAGGACTATGGAAATTCCCTGGACGACTCTTGTCTGGATGAAACTGGAGGAAATCCAGGTTTAATTAAATACAGATTTAATCTAGTGGGAGAAAGATGCATTATAATGGCTAGGAAGTGGCAGTGAGAGACATAAATGGCGCGGGGCAAGAGAAGATAATGTCCTTCCTCTGGTTAAAAATAGTAGGGCTCTGTATTATGGATCTCACACATGGGCAGTACCTCGCTGCTGTTTGTCAAAGCAATCCCAGGTTTTTGGCTTCTGCTGGAGGGAAGAAGGGGGAGGAGTTGTTTAAGGAATGGACCTTTAAAGCAGCTGTATCATTAGTTGATGCTTGCATAGAATCCTGGAAAAAGATGAAACTGAGAGGAGGAGGAGGAGCAGTTGTTATTGTTTAAGGGATAAACTATTAAAGCAGCTGTATCTTTAGTTGATGCTTGTGTAGAATCCTGGAAAAAGATGAAGCTGATTTAATGAGCAGCAGACCACACTCACAGGAGCTGCAAATCACTTATTCTGAATCACCGTTGAAGCGCACAGCCCTAAAAAAAGACCACAAATGATTGCATTGGGCACTCCGTTAAGCAGTTTTTCTGACGAGTAACCCTCACTGAACCCAATGGATTCCATTCTTCACGAGATCCTCCAGATATTGTGCTCACGCCTCTTTAAAGCTCCGTTTGGAAATTATATTGGTTAGAAATATCTATATTTTAAAACATGACGATCCTGCGGTCTATACGTACTCTGCTTTTCAGGGGTGAGGAAAAAAAGGGGTTATGCCCTATTTTAATGTATGTATTTGTTTCTGTTAGAGGGCATCAAAGGTTGGTTTAGTTCAATATTGCTTTATTAAACAAATAACAGTAACTGTAGTCAAAGGAATGGTGTTGTTAATAAAACAGCTGGCTTTGCCATCTGGCCTGCAGATCCGGTGACATTGGTGGGGAGCTCCCTAGATGGTTGCACCGTTAGGAAAATGAATGATGCTCTCCCCAGGTTGTGGTTTTCGTGGTTTTATTGTTCTTGATGATTTGCGTGGCTATTTTGGGGCTGTTTTTGTATTGATTTTGGATTTTTAACCTTAACCTTTTTAAGCTACCCAGAATCAAGCCAGCGAGACGGGCAGCTGTACACCCTTAATAAATAAATAAATGTGATAAAAGTAAAACAGGATGAAAAAAATAATAAGCTCAGCCTGAAACGGGATGTCATGCAAATTCTAACAAACCATCCGGCCTGAACGAACGACGGCATAAACTCGGAGGCCTGCCTCCCTTTCAATTAAAAGTAAAATACATTCACTGGGTTTATTTTAACTTGAAATCGTTTACATTGAAAAGGAAAATAAAAATCGTTTAAAAATGGTTCCCGCCCCCTCGCTTTTTTGCCGGCGAAGAAGGGAGCTTCCGTTCAGGATCCCGCCCTGCCAATCCCCCCTTCTGCCCTCTCCCGTTTTTTTCTCTTTCCAGCTGATATTTATGTGATTGCTCTGCACGCACCCTCACCCGGTTCCTTTGCATTTTTAATTTCCTCCTGCTTGTAATACTCTTTCCGCACATTTTCTATAAACTTCACAACATGCCTACTTCAGTTACTCGGGGACTCCACCTGAGTGCGCTTTCTAAATTTTTTCCAGCGCGCAACGAGGTCCGTGTAGGAGATCCAATAAAACTCATATTCGGATATCCCCAGGATAGATTGCAAATGCAGTCATAGCACGCATAAAACCTGCAGTGACCCAGTAGGAGGCAGATCAGCCCCGCTAACACCCTGGGCTGGTTTCCAGAAAGCTAAGGAGGGTTGAAGGAGTTAGCCATGGGAAGGGGGACCACAAGGAAATCTCTGGATTTCCTGGGACTGGGAACTTGAAAAGATGCCCTGGAAGAAGACGGTGGCCAACTACTTCCATACTGTTGGTGAAACCTGCTGGTGTCTTTATCATTTTTATTTTTATTTATAAGGGTTTGATATTAAGCTCAGGAATGCAAGGTGAATTTCTTAGGGGTAGGAAAAATGAACCTGGTAGACTTTTGTGCAAATCTGTCAAAGGGACGGACATTTGCTTGACAATCAGTGTCCAAACAGTTCTTATTTCTTTATTTGTTTCTTTATTTAAATGTATTGGCCACCCAGCTTCAGTGGACTCTGGACTTTTCCTTCATCGTTCCACTTTTTGCTCTCAGGACCCTATTTTTAAAAATGATGGAGAACCCCAGTAGAGCTTCGGTTTGTATGGGTTATATTTATCGATATTTCCCATGTAAAAAAAATTAAAGTTGGTGCATTGGTAGAATGTTTATTTATTGAGTCCTGTAAAAATAACAATATTAAACCCATTAGATATCAACATAAATCTTTTTCATTTTAAAAAAACTGACAAAAAATAATGAGAAGAGTGACATGGTTGTAAATTTTGGCAAATACCTTCAATATCTGGCAAATAATTTGGATTTCGCAGACCCCGAGTGGGTCTTGGGGGACTCTCAAGGGTCTGAGCCACACTTTAAGAAACACTGGTCTAGTTTGCTGCAGAGAACACAATCTGGTGTGATAGTGGATGACAATCATGTTAATGAAATAACATTCAGAACAACCCCAAACGGGGAATAAATTATGTAGATCTAATCTCAAAAGCTATAAATACAGTTCTTGTTTTTTTCCTGGAAAACGGAGTTCTTTTTAAACTTGGTAGGCTCAGTAAAGGCTGGTGAATATTAACGAGGTTTTATAAAAGGAATAGAATTGTGACCTGACGTTTGGACTATGATATGGTGTAAATCTCCAGGCTCGGGAAATGGGGAAGGTGATCCCTGATTTTTAAGAGAAAAGTTTCCTTGGTTTGGAAGAGTGTTTAGCGGCGTTCTCTGGAGTATACCGGAGAAATCTTGGGGGCGGAAGGAGGAGAATTTAGTTTTGGGGGGTTCTGAAGATCCAGACTCTGTCTTTTGTTGTCAACCAGCTTAGCTTAAAAAAACTTTGCACCTGGACTTATTATTTGCAAATTCACACTTCTGTTGAATGTATAAGAATGGATTTGAATGAAAAAACAGTTTCATTTTCATTGCGTCCAGGAATTTCATTTCAAGGACCGGTCTATTACACCGCCCCAAATTCTCTATATAACCACTTGCCGTGGGAGGTTATTCGGAGTAGGAGACATTAAATCTTTTCCCCCTAAACTCTTCTCCTGCAGAAGAGATTGGATTGTGACATTTTGGACTTCTACGGAGTTAAGAGTCAAGGGGGATAAAACATTTTCCTGCAGGGGTTACCTTGAGAGAGGGTCCTGATTGCCCTGGGCGACCAGGCGGGTAGATATTTGTAAGGTGAATTGGGGTACTTTGGGGTAAAACCAAGAGCTTTGCCTTCTGCCCTGCCACTGCCCCCCAAGTTCCAACTTCTTGACTTTCTTTCTTTCAGAGGCTATTCCAAAGACAATGATAGCAGCTGGTTTCGCTCCTTCTTTGTCCACAAAGTGGATCCAAGAAAAGATGCCCATTCCAACCTCCTTTCCAAGAAGGAGACAAACCACCTCTACAAGATCCAGTGTGAGTCCCCCCCACCCCACTTCTAAATGTCCTTTCTTTCCTGGGGCAGCTTCTGAACGATGCTTCAGTTGCACAACAGCATCCCTAACTTCGTGGAGGGTCCTGGGCATCGTCTTCCATCTGCAATCGCCCGTATCTTCACCGTTCCCTTTCTTCCAAAGCAGGAAAAGGGGAATAAATATTCTTGGATTAGTTACATCCGAAGCCCTCCATCTGAAAGTAGGGTGGGAGGCTGTTTGCAGGGAAAATCTGAGGTTTATTGGATGCTGTGAAAAACCAGGAGGCTGGTAGCCCCTTTTCCAGGTAACAAATTTTTAGGCAAAGACAGAAGCTTTCAGGAGCTGCAGATCACATCATCAGATGCACAGACTGGCTGGGCTGTTGTAGGATTTAGATGATTGGGAAAAGCGGGGGGGAGAGGAAGAGAAAGATGAGATGATGATGATCATCCCAGAGTTGCTGGGAATCGGGCAGCATATCAATTTAATAAATTATCATCACCTAAATTGGTTGTAGCCACCCGCTCCAGAAGCCTCTGAGTTGCTTACAACATTGGACGAGGTTGGTTATCTGCATAACCAATTTATTAAAAGGCATATGCTCCATAAATTGGTAAGTGTAATCAGTTTAGTACAATGCATACCTTTAATAAAGTGCATTAGCCTGAAAGAGTGCTACCAGACTCCAGATCTTTTGCCCCTGTAGGCTTAACGCAGCTCTCCTCCTACGATAGATTTTATATCTAGGTTTTTGTGTTTAGGGTTGGCAGATTTTATTCCATCTTGGCCAATATATGGGAACCCCCCTTGACCTAAATTGCAGCCTGACCTTTTTCTAAATGCAGAAAGGACGGGGATGTCTGTAACTGTTCGATATTAAAGCCATGGAGGAAACGTCTTAAGTTTCTAGCCCGCCTCCGTACAGCCTCTGAAAAGGTCTCTATCAAAAACCAAGCAAGAATGGTTGATTTTTATCGTTGGTTCTATTAAAATTGTAATTTTCACTTGTAAAGAATTCTGGGCTTTGGATCGAAGAGAAGCATAGAAATAAAATAAAACCTCATCAATGGAGTGTTGCTTCTAGACCTTTTCTTCCTTTTCATCTTCAGAATGATGCATGTATATTAAACAGGTATTACATATTCATGTATTTGGGCTTAGATATTGGGTGTTCTTCAGACATCATCTGGATGTTGGCGAGTCCTGTTAGAAAAAATTGGTTGTTTTCCACTCAGTGAATTAAGCCAAGGTTTGTTTGATCCGAGTCTGTTGAATAAGCCACAGCGGGTTGAGTTCACACAATGCGCTAAGCCCAAACCAAGTCCTGCTTTGCGCAACATGTGAGCCCTTTATGGAGTAGCTATTTTCCCCAGTCCATGTTTTCTGGAGAAAATGGTTCAAAGTAAACTCCAGGTTGCCAATTCATTTGCTCTGCACGGTCCCGTCCTTGGGACGAGACCCTTCTGCCATTCTTCACCCAGGTCTTCTTTCTCTCGTTTCAGTCCACAATGTGAAGCCCGAATGCCTGGATGCCTACAACAGCCTCACGTAAGGGTCTGCTGGTCTTGTTTTCCATGCAAGGGTCTGGGGTCAAGAAGAATTTGCAGAAAGAAAATGATTTCCAGAAGAAAACAAAGCTGGAATTCCCACACGGGTTTTGCAACCAAATGTTGCAGCGTGGCGTTCCATTTTGAGAGCGGGAGGCCTCTGTGATCCCGTACTTTCCCATTTCACAGTCAGTATCCCATGCCTGCTTGATGTGTTCACTCCCTCTTGGGATATGTGGGGAAGGGGAGAGATTTCCTCCTTTATTATTTTTTTTCCTAATGACGTTTTAATATTCAGCGTGTGTTTTTACTTGAACATTGCTTTCCTCTAAGCGCGTCCAACTTTTTTCCTGAAAGGGACAGTGTGCTTCTGACTGCGAGTGCAGAACGTGCTCGCTGTTAGAATATGCAGTATATTTATTTCTGAGCAGCCAAGAATCGCCAAGGGTGGAAGATGGGATCGTCTGCCTGTGGGAAATAAAAAAATATTAGCCTTTGGTGTGCACGGGGGGTGGGGGGTCCAGCTTTTAGCTGAGATTCACCGCTGCCTTACAAATACTGCTTTCTGCCCCTCTGCTGATTCTGGGTTTGGCTTTGCAGGGAACAAGTCCTACCCAAGTTGCATTCAGACACGGGGTATCCCTGTGACCTGGTTGGCAACTGGAATACTTGGTATGGCGAGCAGGACCAGGCAGGTGAGGAGGAGGGGGGACTGATTTGCGCTGGGTGAAGGGTGCTGTAGAGTTTTCCGCTGATTTTCGTGGGAGAGTTAAGCAAAATTGGAGCGTCGCGCCTGGGTCTTTACACCCCTCCTCGTGTTTAAAGACTGCATCCAGGGCCAAAAATGCCCCCTTTGAAATGAAAAAAGACTTTCGTCCGCCAGTGCTAGGATTGTGACTCAGCAGCTAAATTGGGGCTCCTCGTGTGCAAAACACTTGGTTTTGGCTCTTCTCCCTTCTGATCCTTGCACGCTTGGCCTCCGAGAGCCTCCGAGCCTCCTGTGACATTGTGGGTGCTGGTGAAAGGGTGATCGGCGTGGCAGAATCTCTGATTTCCTTGTTCTCGAGGGATGGCATTTGCCTCCCGCTTTTATCCGCGTGCGTGAGCAGTGCGCTTGGGTGGAGTCTCCCTTCCGTTTAGCCCCGCCACAACAGCCCTGGGAGGTAGGATTGGCAGTCCCTGCAGGGTCCCGGGTCCAACGGGGATCTGAACCCATTCCTTCCACATCCATCTTCCGTCATTTTGGCTCCCGACAGTTTTCTCTCCAAGTCAGAACCTAGAAGGGAGGCATGGAGAAAAGGGGGAGAGGCCCAGCCCGAAAACGGAAGGGAGGACAAGCAGCCATGTTTCTATATACTATAGAATACACTATACTATTTTTATTCTACTTTAACTAATATTTATTTGCTGTTTTTATTATAAACCGCCCAGAGTCGCTTCCTCATGAGATGGGCGGTGTCTCAATTTGAAATACAAATAAAATGTTGCAGAGCCCAACACTTTCCCACTGGCTATATTCACACAGTGCTCTAAGCTGGATCAGTCCTAATTTGCTCCATGTGCTAACCTGGGGAACGTTAACCTTGGTTTGGGTTGGCTTTCATTTTTGTTAAGTTTTAGCGCGTTAATGCAGACCCAGCCCGTCTTGTAAGTTCGAGCAAACTCTGAAAGGGGGTTAAATCAATAACCAGGCTGAAGGGGGGCCACTGGCCTTTTTTATCAACTCCTGGTTTGGGCTCCGTAAGAACTGGAGGCCTCTTCTCTCCTCTGCAGTGCATATCTGGAGATTCATCGGCGGCTACCCAGCCCTCATGGAGTGCATGAGCAAGCTGCGGGAAAATCAGGTATTTTGGAGGCCCGATCCCACCGTTGCGTGGCTGGCGCAGCGGATTGCCGTGCTGCCAGACCATCGTTGGCCAGGCGATGTTGCCCAGCCCAGCGTTCTCTTCAGGAAGAGGCGACATAGCTGGGCGGCTAGAGCATTGCTCCAGCACATCGTCTCTCAACCGTAGCAACTTGAAGATGTCTGGACTTCAACTCCCAGAAATCTGGGAATTGAAGTCCAGACATCTTCAAGTTGCCAAGGTTGAAAAACGCTACTCTACAGAATCAATTCCATCCTTAGGCCTTTGGGTAACCCTAGGCCAGTCAGTCCTCCCTCAGCCTACCTTACAGGGGGGCTGTTCAAGGGAAATAGGAAGGGGGCACGCTATGCATGCCCCCTTGAACTCCTGAATGAAAGATGGGATACCAGTCAGATCAGTAAATGAGTAAATTCTGCATTCCGAGCTGACCGTCTAATACAAACCCTTCGTGAGCGCTAAGAACCTGCCTAAAATTATGAGCATTCGTAATGACGTTGCCAATGCTAGCCTTGTCTAGCCCTGTCCCCTAGCCAGTTTCCCTGGACCATTTTCAACCCCCAGAAAAACGACGCGTAATCTGACGGCCTCCTCTCTGCCGCCTGAATCTTCCATCCTTCCCTCCCGGCAGGAATATTTGGAATTTCGCAAGGAGAGGAGCAAAATGCTGCTGTCCCGAAGGAATCAGCTGCTGCTGGAGTTCAGCTTCTGGAATGAACCTTTGCCACGAGCCGGTCCCAACATCTACGAGCTGAGAACGTACAAGCTTAAGGTGAGCTCTGTTTGCAGGGAGGGGTGAAGTCCTGCTTGGCTACGCGGCTCCCCTTTCCTTGGAATGCTTTGGGTTGGGGTGCAGTTCTTGGAAGTAAAGGGGGGGATAGGGACTGGCTCTTTGGTGCTTTTTTTACAAAATAATTTTATTAAAAGTTTTAATGTGGAGTCCTTGGGGTGCTCTGAGCTTGTTGTTTTCCTGCAAACGTTTCGTTACCCGGCTAGGTCACATCTTCAGTGCTAAATGGAATGGGGTTTGCTCTCTGTTTATCTACTGTGGCCTGCCCTGCCAGTGTAAGTTTTAATTACAATAGTAAAAGATAATATAAACTGAAAAAAAGAAGAAGAAGAAATAGAAAGGTGCAGGAAAACAAAAGAAACAATAGAACGAAAAAGGGAAAAACCATAAGACAGCAACTTCCCCCCCTCATCACAGCAAGAATAAACCATTTCACTATCTCTTCACCTCCTCTTATTTAGCAGACAAAAAACTCTTCCTCCCATAACTCAACTCCTAACCATAGGCACATCTCCAACCCAGGTATCCGCAAAAAGTCCGAACAGAGCCCTAAAATAATCTCATGAACTAACAAATGTAAAACTCATCATTCCATATCTCAACGCTGAACTAAGCAAATCCACATTTAGGAGGCATAAAGTGGTCCCAGGATCCTAGGATGAACAAAAGGCTGAAATTTAACATGACAAAGAGGGACAATTTCTGCTCTTTGGTGCTTTTTAAATGATAAAAAAAAAAGAATAGCATTTTTTAAAATTATAGTTAGATGTGGCAGGAAGGGTGGTGACATGTGTGGTCAGGGAGGTCTGCCCAGGTCTTCCGTGTGTGAGACAGTGGCCCATTCTGTCCTAGCTCACAAAACGTCCCAGGAGATCACCAAAAGATTTCTAAAAAGCCTGCCTCAGCTTTTCCAGCTCCATTTCAACTCAGAAAAATCGCCAAAAATTGCCACAGCAAAAAGTGGCAATTTTTGACACAATTGGGGGTTACTTTGGGTCAACATCAAGCTGGGAATGGCTGTAGAAGGCAAAGCACATTGATTTCCCATTTCCAAACACCCCCAAAATGGACCCACCTGCTTTGCCCCATACACTTGGAGTTCCCAGAAGAGGGTCCCAGTTGAGAAATGGCTGTCCAAGACCAACGTTTGCTTTTCCCAGCTGCTGGACGATCCTTTGGCTCTCAAACCATTTTCCCACAAAAGTGCAGCTCACTCTCTAAGGTACATTACTTTCCAGGTGATGCTGAGGTCCGAAGGCCTCTGCTGGCATTGCCCTCTGGGTGAATTTTGAATCACAACCAAGACAGGCTGGAGGCAGGCTTGAAACATCCCTTTATTTCCTCATCCATTGGATTGCCAATTCGGTGTCATGAATCTTTGAAACCGTTTCTGCAATCTCTTCTTTCTCTTTGACTTTCAGCCCGGGACCATGATTGAGTGGGGAAACAACTGGTAAGTGGAAAGCAGTTCAAATGTCTTTAAAGGGTCTTCGCTCCAAAAGTCAGCGTAGGGAGAGAAATTGGTGGATTCCTCTGCGGGCCCTGAAGAAAAAAGTCAAATTCGCAATCCACAGCTCCCACAGAGCAAAACGATGCCTTAGACAGCTGGTTTTGTTCCTTTTTCTCTTTCTTGGAACCAAAGAGATAATTAATCAATTAAGTTTATCCCATAAGTAGGTGTATTTTGCTGGGTCAGTGGTATCCTTTCCTGGATGTTTTAGAACTACAGTACCCAGAATTCCCAGCTAGGTTGAGGAAGGCTGTTCCCAACCTTGTTACTCCGAATAGGATGGTATAGTCCTCTCAAAAATGGAAACCGAGTGATCCCAGCAAGAAAAATGTACTTGGTCGTAGATTTGTTTAGCCGCGAAAACAAGGTTGATGCTTTTAGGACCCAGAGGCATAAAGGCTTGCTTATTTTGGAAAAGAGTGAAACCCAGACCCTGAAATGCTAAGATTTCCTCATAAGTACCTACACAAGTAAGATGCTCTGGAATCACTTTTTTCTGGGGCTTGTACCCCCACATTGCTGGTCCTGGGGACCCAGAGATGGTCAAATGGCTTCCACATAGAGAGATGCTCGCTTTAGGCATCTTCAGCTTTGCCATTCTGTGGGGCCCATTTTTGATATCGTTGACCTGCTGCAAGAAAAGTGCTAAACAAGTTACTTTATTCTAATAAGAACAAGAGATTCCCCCCTAAGGGAGCAACCCAAGTAGTCTTGAACAAGGAGCTGGCTTTCTCTCTCTCCAGTTTCTCTCCGACAAGCTGGACTGGGATAGATAAAGGCACGCAAAGATACAAGAATATATGATTTATTGCAGAAAAGCTAAGAAGCCATTACTAAAGAATTCCAGCAACTGCATAGATCAGATACAAGTTCTATTTATATTGTAATAGGCGTTCAAATCACGTGCCTCTTTCTCCTGCCAGTTCTATGTAAAAGAGAGAAACAAATCTCTTTTGAACGAGATTTCCTCCTTTTGGTGACTGTCAGATCTGGTATCAAGATCTGGCAGTTACCAAGAAACTGATGGAAACGACTAGATCTGGCACTTATCTG